GGAACTCAACATCTGGCTAACGCATTACGAAATAACACCGTAACCCGCATTCTCTATTTATCTCTGTCAATATCTTCATCTACATTTTTTCACACAGACACTCATCACACTATATCTCACTGTCAATCAAATCGGAGATGAAGGAGCACAACATCTGGCTGATGCATTACGACACAACACCGTGACCCTCATTCTCTCTTCATCTCTCTCATATACCCATCTGCACTTTTTCACACAGACACTCACCACACTATATCTCATCGAGAACCAAATCGGAGACAACGGAGCACAATATCTGGCCGATGCGTTAAGAAAAAACACGGTGATCCTCATTCTCTCTTCATCTCTCCCATATATGCATCTGCACTTTTTTGCACAGACACTCACCACACTAGCTCTCTCCCGCAATCAAATCGGAGACATCGGAACTCAACATCTGGCTAACGCATTACGAAATAACACCGTAACCCGCATTCTCTATTTATCTCTGTCAATATCTTCATCTACATTTTTTCACACAGACACTCATCACACTATATCTCACTTTCAATCAAATCGGAGATGAAGGAGCACAACATCTGGCTGATGCATTACGACACAACACCGTGACCCTCATTCTCTCTTCATCTCTCTCATATACCCATCTACACTTTTTCACACAGACACTCACCACACTATCTCTCTACGACAATCAAATCGGGAAGGAGCTGAAAGATCGTTTGGACGAATTGATAAAACGAAATAATGAAGGAAAATAATGAGATACATTGGTTTTGAAATACCATTATTGAAAAAACTAAAATTTTGCATTGAATTTGTGATTGGGTTTTTTTTTGTCATTTCGTATTTCACCTCAAAAAGATAATAAAATATCTTGATTTTCTTAAAGTAAACTATGGGTGACTGAGGAGTTCGTTTTTTGGTCAAGTCTTACTGTGTAGATGGCTGGAGTGAAAAAAACATAGTGCAGATTTTAATTTGTTATGATTTATTCGTATAAATGGAAGGTGGATTTCGAGATGTTAGTAGTAGTTGAAAGTGTGGATCGAATTTTGTATTTGTGCTTTCCAAAGTATGATTATATGAATTTTGAATTTTAATTGTGTCTTATCTATTATTAATAAGTCTAGTGGTTGTCTGGAGATGTTTGTGTCAGACAAAATTAAACTTAGATTTTCGAAATTTGAGTTATTAGACACAATTGAACTTGATTGCAGTAGCAATTGATGCAGAGTAGTGAAATTGCAAATTTTATTATTTCGCTTGAACATATATAGTAACTTTGAGATGTAGAGTTCCATATTTTTTTTAAAGTTATCATTAAATTTACAAGAATGTAGAGCTCTCTAGCTTTTGTTATTTAAATCATTATTAGATTTAAGATGATCCAGAGTGAAAATAGAAGAAATGATAGTTATAAAAAATGTATAAAATGTCATTAGTAATCATAGCATGTGAGAATCGTTTCTTTTTTTTAAGATAATAATAATAATATTTAAATATCCGTTGTTTCCTCTTATCGATAACTTTTATATGATCAGTTATATTTCATTCTCACTATAAAACGAGAAGAGATAGTCCTCAAACAATTGATACTGTATGACATTAACTAAATCAAACACATGCAATATTGACTTTGGCAATTTTGTTTATCATCAGAATAATATTTTTGGGTTGTGTCTGACCAAAAGGCAACAAAAAAGGCGAGCAAAAAGAATGGAGAAATGAGGATGAAAGAAATATTTCAAATATCATGAATAATCATATTGTTTGAGAATAGTTTATTGTTTTTTATTAAAGATAATAATGATAAAAGCTAAACATGAATGGTTTTGTTTATCCATACTTTTATAGATGATCAGCTACATTTTATTGTTAATACAGAAAGACAAGAGATAATTATCAAACAGCTGATACTATGTAATGTCAACTAAATAAAATCATATATAATATTGAGTTCTTCAATTTCTTCACTATAAAAATAATATTTCTGGTTTGTGACCGACTATAAATCGAGAAAAAAGGAAAAAAGGGAAAAATTTATAAAACAAATTACTAATCATTTGGTTCGAGCACAGAATATTTTCTTAAAGATAAAAATAAATGTTGAACATCAATTGCTCTTTATTAGCAATAAATTTACACATGATCAGTTACCTGTCATACTTCATATAAAAGAAAAGAGATACTCATCGAACTATCAATACTATCAAATTTTTCTTAGTAGGCATTCGATGTTTACCATTGAAATGTCGAATAATTTCTTATGTGAAAAAGAGTTTTTTTTTGACTTCAGTCGGTCTAAAAAAGATACTATTGGAAACACGAGAAAACAAATAAATAAATACTTTATAGTTTGCTAATCATTTCTTTTATGAATAACATTTTGCGCCTGTTCGTTTAATCTCCAAAATCTATCGTATCTGTTAGATCTGTGGAAAGATTATTCACACGTTCATTAATGAAGTAATCAAGTGATCTCTCGAAATATTTCAATACACATCATAATTAGGAATCATTTCTAAATAAAACAATACTGCAAAAACAATCCGTCCAGGGTGCGGCATGCGGGTGACTGTCGGTGTAGTATTCATTTGAAAACCACACTCTAACACACACCCTCTATTGCAACAAACGATTTCCTGCTACGCAAAACTTCATCCGAAGTACCGACACTGATTCCTAACATTCAGATAACTTTGAACAACATGACAAATTCTCTTCCTTCATCGCCGAATTCCAGTTTCATATCCAGTACAACAAGTTATGCAACACACCGATGTACACGACAAATCGAAAATCCATCCGAATCTGTCAACTGAGAAGTGAGATAATAATCAATCGGCGTGAGCAACCCACTAGAACGTTATTCAGCCTTTCGAAATTATACTGTTCACACATAATTTCTACCCAACTCTACGTAACCAAACGACTGATTCCCAACAATTCCAACTCCAAAATATCCTTAAAGCCTCAAAAATGGCACGAAACAACATCAGTAACTCCTACATACTCGCCGAACAGTACACAACCACATAATGTTCACCGTGAGCTTTCAAACACCACACTCACCAGAATAACCTGCCTAAAACATATACTGCCCATGCGTCCTTAACTCATATATCAGCCAGATGTTGCGCTCCGACAGCTCCGATTTGATTCCTGTAGATATTGAGTATGGTGAGTGTCTGTGTGAAAAAGTGCAGATGGGTATATGAGAGAGATGAAGAGAGAATGAGGGTTACGGTGTTGTGTCGTAATGCATCAGCCAAATGTTGTGCTCCGTCGTCTCCGATTTGATTGTATTGGAGATGTAGTGTGGCGAGTGTCTGTGTGAAAAAGTGGAGATAGGTATATGAGAGAGATGAAGAGAGAATGAGGGTCACGGTGTTGTGTCGTAATGTATCAGCGAGATGTTGTGGGTGTGGATGTGTAGGTGTAATTTTTCTCTTCAACTGAATCCACATTCGCACTTCAACCAGTCAATGGTCTGAAAATAACCATGTTGCTGATGCTAAGATTTCAGGAAGATTTTGAGACAGTTATCTTCAGTTATGTATTTGATAAAAGATGCCGCAATAAATGGTTTGAGGGAGAACTAGGCGTCTTAATTATAATAAATAAAAGTATCTTTTGCATGTTATGCACATGTAGTGAAAAAATAATAATAGAATTAATATTGTTATAGGTTTTACGATTTGTAATAGTTATTGTTGATAATGTTCGGCATGAAGGTGATAAATGGAAACGGCTTTCAGCGTAAATTATCGATGTAATTCTTGCTCATTTGCAATCACATAGTACTATTGGTGGATCTAAGATTATTTTTTTTAATCTTCGATTATACGTTACTTTTTCTTTTCAAAGAGGCTCACTCGCTTTTGAATATTTATTCCACAGAATTAACACTATTTGATGTTACGTCATCAGTTGCGTTACAACTAATTGATCCATTTGTTGTTGCTTTTTTAACATTAGTAAATAGAAATGCTCGTTGTTTCTACTTATGAAATTTTCCTTTAGTTTAAAAAGTTTTTCTTAGAATGTCAACTATGAATCTACAAATCAATGTTTAATGAATACAAATATAATACTTCGATGTCTTGTACAAAATTTAACTGAAGATGCTATATTAACACGATGGAATGTCATTTTATCATTAATTAATGGAACACGAGATGAAACGTTTATCCTGTAAGTATTTGAAAGGATTTTATTTGTAATTTAAAAACTGCTATTCTCGTTTTTCTTTTTAGAACTCTTCTTCGAATTTTAACTAATACTCAACAATTACGTGATCAAATCGATATGACATTAGTTTCTCTTGTATTCGATTATCTTCATGTACTTATGCATATTATGGAAAATGGTAATCAGTCAAAATAATAGTGTATTTATGGACATGAATACGATAGTCTAGCAATTATTATTAATTTAAAAATTTCGGTTTGAAACTTTATGAATAAGAAACTACCTGAACAGATAATAACTGATTTCTATCAAAGTCAAAAGAGCTTAAAATTTGATCATAATCTATATGATAGTAACATATCATTCATTAATTTGAACATAAAACTTTCCTTCAATTCATTAATCCCTAATGAAGTAGTGAAAAATATTTGACTTTAAAAGTTCTATGCTTTTTTAAGATCTATGATTTTATTTTAGCTAAACAATCTCGAGCAATTGTAAATGATTTTCGTCAATTATGAATTCATGATGAAACGATACATCATCTTTATTGTTAAAATGAATATCTATTCTTAGTATGCGTGATTATACATAAGAAGCATGGTGATCACCAATATTAACACTATCATCATTAATAAGACATTTATCTATAAGTGATCAATTACAATCTTATTGTGGTTTAATATATTATCATGAATTATATGTTAAATATCGAAAATCAATAATAGCACATTATCAATTATTCTTTTTTTTCTTGAACAACGTGATATTTGTACATAATTTACTTGGTTTTATATATCATACATAAGTTGCAAATCATTTATTCGTTTATGAAGAAATACATTTAGATGAAAATGGTCTTGTTTTAGTTTTATTAATTGAACAATTTATTCAATTATCATATATATCTGTATTACATTTAGCTGAATTAATCGTTTATGATCGTATTGAAATCATGTTAATACTTGACCAACAAACATTAAATAAACAATTATTATCTAAATATTTACCATTAGCTTTACAAATATTATCAATAATAAAATCAATCGATATTATTAAAGAAGATTTTAATAATCTTAATTGTTCTATGGATATAACACAAAAAATTGATGGACAAATGCCTAAAAATGTAACTTGTAAAAAATGATTACCATTTATGATATTATCTATGTTTTAGTTTAATTTATCCAAATAAATAAATATAGTATAATGAAAATCTCATTCCAATTAAAAGAAAAATATGTGATTTACTTTAACACTGTTTATGTGTTGGTAATAGATGGAATTTTTAAATAATTCAAAATTTCGAAAAATATTCCGAAGCAGGGTGTCATATTCCACTTACCATTAGAAAGTGGTAAGTGGTAAGTGGTATAGATTACCACGCAAGAATAAATATTAATAATTAAAATAATCATTTATGAGTTCTATATCGATAGTTTTTCGATAATTACAACACTTACCACTTACCTGATAAGTGGAGGTGATGGTAAGTGGCAAGTGTGACATTCCTTTATAAGGAGACCACTTCTAGATGGCTGTTAACAAGTGATAAGCCACCTCAAATAATCCAATCTAAGCGACTGAAGGAAAAACACATGATGGTCTACTTAGGTATGCACCAGGCTTACGAAGGAACCATTCGAAGTGATTCATCGCTATTGAGCTCATATTTTGGGAATATCGAGAGGACTTCTAGACTAGAATAATCCTAAAAGGATTTGGTCCTACGGCCTTCCTATCTTGAGATATTGAATTTTCCAGTTCTTGGGTAACACAGCGTTTTTGATCATGTATCACTGCATCATACCACGAACGAAAGCATATTGCAAGCTAAAAGTTTTCTGATAAGCTATGTTATTGTTATAGCCCACATCAGTCTTCTTCATAAATGACAGCGGTTACACATTGAATTATTTTTGTACTACTAGTTATATTCGAAATATTGCGATCAAGGAGGTTGATAGAAAATATTTATGTATGACAGTGATAAGCTTCGACAAAATACTCGAAGCAAAGAAATTTATGACAGTAACTGAATTGAATAAAGGGCAGCAAGTGACAGTTCGACTGCTGACAAAAGCTACAATCGATATTAAAATAAATTTTGTTGATGGATTCGAAACCTCCTGAATGCTGATCGAAGCCACCTGCTGTGAACCATGAATACTTTACCCTAGGTATGAGCAGAGATGAGGGCAGCTGGTTGTGAATTAGAGAATTTAAGCGTATTATATTGTTTCGTTCAGATAAGTTAATGGCAATATCATCGAGTTGACTATGATCGAAAATACGTCGAGCAATCAATTTCGATTGTCTATTGATATAAACATCGAGTGGTTGAATGCGCGACGTAGTATGAGCAGGTATTTCTAGTCTTTTACATCATTTGAAGCCAGAGTATATAGTTGAATTTTACTGATCGAACCAATAATCCGAGAGCAGGAGAAAGTTCGCTGGGGGAAACGGGCGAAGAACGTGATCCTCCAGTATTTCACCAATGAGTAGGTGAGTTTTCCTGGAGAACTGCATGTAACAACAATGTTCGGGGCAGAAAAAAATGTGTTTTTGATATCTAATAAAGGACATATAGTTTTATTCTACAAGAAACATGAAGTGCGTCTAGTCACTGTCGCTCATCTTCCACTTTGGCTCCCTCAAGCAAAGAAAAACGGAACCGACGAGTTTTCCAACAAGAGATATCATTTTTTGAATAGTTTTAGAGTGCGTTGTGGTATTCTTTGGCTTAACACGAGCCAACGTAACATTTTCACCCTCATGTCAGAGTGTTCTAGTCGATTGAAGTTCAAGTTTCAGGCCAATCTGATCAGTATTTAAAATTTGTTCAGGTACATAGTCCTTCATCTCCCGTTTCACATCGGCTAAAAAGAAATCAGCAGATGTAATGATAGCATTTGTTATGTCAGGAGAGACATCTCCTGACGTACGAGGGCTCTCTCTATAATATCACTGCTCTCATTAATGGCATTCATTCTCATCCCTCCATGATATCTCTTTGTTCTGAAGATAAACAAGAAAGTATATCATGGAAGAAGAGAGAAAGAGAGAATCACATTCTTTGCTGCTTTTTTTGTTTTTGATTCATTCGATTGTTTGTTTTTCAAAGGAAAGGAGAATAATAAAGAAATCAGAGAAAAGGACCTTAACAATTTGGTGCACTAGCCGGAGTTGTTTATTATTGATATAATTAGTATATGTTAACACGACAAGGTGCAAGACGACTTATTGAAACTGAATTCCATCGATTAGCCAATATTGATATTAATTTTCCTGATCGTACAACAATATATCCAATAGTTTCTCATCCAACAGAA